AAAGACAGGTTAAATATGCAATAAAACAGACCTCTTCATTCTCTGCTCCTCTCTGTGTTTAAGCATGAAAGGTACCAGCTATGTACCTGTAAACTGGATGGTATGTGGTTAAAACACTGAAGCGTGTTTGTGTGTGGGGAGGGGGGAGGGGGGAAGAGGTGCCTTTGATTGTTGCATATTTAGGGCAAAGCGTTGTTTTCTGTGCAATTGAAATAAATTGCTCTCTCTCTCTCACAGTTTCTCCTCCGCTTTCTAAAGGGCTCACATCCTGAATGCCTGCAGTTTAATTTGCCTTGATTAAGGCAGAACATCAATTGGACATAGTAATAATAATATTCCTTGCATTTGATATAATAATAATAATAATCCTTGCATTTGATATAGCGCTTTTCACGTCGGGAGGACGTCCCAAAGCGCTTCACAGAACACACTGTAAAGTGAATTGACTGTATATTTGTGGGCGAACGCGGCAGCCAATTGCGCACAGCAATGTCCCACAAACAGTCGTAGATTGAAAATGACCAATTTATTATTGTTTTTGGAGGGATTATTATTAGGCGTGTGGAGTAAGGAAACTTGCCCAAGGTTTCGCTCTGCCTGGAATTGAATCCAGGTCTCTCGCTTGCAAAGCGAGTGCTCTAACCACTGAGCTACAGGACTCCAAATATAGCGTCTTTTCACATTGTTGAGACGTCTCAAAGCACTTCACAGAATATACTGTGAAAGAGATTAACTGTATAATTTGGGGGCCAGATACAGCAGCCAATTTGGGGACCAGATACAACAGTGTCCCACAAATAGCCATGGATTGTGTTACCACATCTTTTTTTGAAGGATTATTACTGAAACTGTGAGATGAGCGATAAAATTGACAAATGGCAGATGATGTATTTAATTGTTGCCCTGAATTCTTTGGGAGGGAGAGTAAAGAGTGAAGGGAGCTTGTTTTTCAGGATAATTTCTCAGGCTAACTAAAACGGGTGGGTTGCCCCTTATAAGTAAATATTTTTTTGAAGGGAGGGGTAAAGTGTTTCACACAGAGTTGAACTGGTGATAAAGGTTAATGATGCACCGTTTGCCTTCCAGCCTTGAGGAGACAGCTTCAAACAATGCACAGTATCTTGCTCCCTTAAAGATAGCGCCTAAAATGTTACCTCTTGTTGGTTTAAAGGCTAGAATACAGTATACATAAGTGTTGGAGATTATATGTGACTCTGACCTTTGCGACAATGTTTTCTATGAAAAGGACAATTCCGTTACAAGTTGGCCCAAGGCAAGTTACTTAAGCAAAGGGTGTCAATGCTTCTAAGTGTCTAGGGGATTCATAACTGCATGCAAAAGAGAATAATTTCCTGCTGGAACAGATATGATAGTAAATAGTAATAATCCTTGTATTGTGATACAGCGTTTTTTGCATTGTTTAGGACGTCCCAAAGCACTTGGCAGGAACATGCTGTAAAGGATGTATTTTTGTAGGTTAAGGACTACAAATGACTGCTAAAACACAGGCGTGTCTTTGACAGTGGATTCAGAGACTTTTAGCAATTAAGATGGGGTTTTGTTATTTATAACCAGATTCACCAAGAATAAGACGTCTGCAGATGTTGACTGGCTGCTGGTAGTTTGGTGCTGATTTGTGGTTGAATGTTGTGTCCTCTCAGCTACAAATCCATCCAGGAATGTGTTGGAATTACTGTCCTGTCATTAAACAAAATCTCGGATCCTGGAATAATTTTACTGTAAGAATTTGTGCCTGCAGGTGCTTCTGTAGTGAGTGTGTGTGTGTGAGTGCATGTTTGTGTGTGTGTGTGTGGGGGGGGGTGTTTGTGTGTGTGTTTGTGGGTGTGTGTTTTTGTGTGTGTGTGAGTGTGTGTTTTACACAGTCACAGTACTGGATGGAGGGTGCAGATTCTAGATCTTAAACTGGTAACAGCATTAGACAGCAATGAAGTTAATATGTTCACTCACAATGTGCTTTTGATTTGAAACCTATAGAAATATCAGAATTTTTAAATTTTGAATACAAAACTATGGAGATATCAAAATCCTCAAACATGGAGGAAAAAATATTCCTTACTATTTAATGCTGAGCACTTTCAGTAAAATCCTATCAAATTACAAGCAAGAAAACCCAGAGAGAGAGGAAGAGCTCTCAGGAGTTTAGGGAGGGAAATCTTTATACAGAGCTGCAATGTGGCATTCACTGCCACAAACCATGGTTGAGTAAAGCAGCTCTCTTTACCTTAAAGAGGTTGAGCATTGTTTGCACTACCCACACACATAGATTATAGAATGAATATAACAGCACAAAACAGGTCATTTGTTTTTTTTCTCTATGTGAAACACCTAATTAAATCCTGCTCCCTCTTCATATTATTCAATATCCTCCTCTTCACATGTCTTTATCTGTAAATCTATTTTAAACTAATTAATATTATTTACTTTATTTAGGTTTTAGCTCAACCATGGTTTGTGGCAGTGAATGCCACATTGCAGCTCTGTATAAAGATTTCCCCCCCTAAACTCTTGAATTCATTTTGTGTCGAACCTTGCTCCCTCTTTGCCCATCTTCAATTCACACCTCAAGACTTCCCTCTTCAACTTTACCTTCGGTCCCCTCCTCATTCTTTCCAGCTCACTGTCACACCACACCACCGTTAAGAGCTCCGAGACACTACCTGCGTGAAGTATGTTATATAAATGCAAGTTGTTATTGTTTATCTTAAATGTTTGCCCTCTAGTTAATAACGCACCAACCACAGTGATAATAATCAATTACCATTATTATCACATTCTCACAAATGTTCATTCTCTTCAAAACTTCCAGCATGTCACAAAAAGTTTCATCATTTCATTGCAAAATGAGTGGTAGACATTTGCTATAAATAATCATATTTTCCATTTACTATTTTATATATTAGCAAAAATAATAATAATCTTTGTATTTCGTAAAATGTCTTATCACGTCGTTGAGACGTCTCAAAGCACTTCACAGAATATATTCCAAAGTGGATTGACTGTATATTTTATAGGTGAAATACATCAGTCATAGGGACAACGTGCAGTAAATACAACCAATATTTGTTTCTATTGTGGAGCAGTGATTCTATTAGTTTAATGGACAAACAGTCACTGGGGAGAGTATTCAAGTTGGAATCGGTTTGAGGTAAGAAGAATAAATGGGTGTCAGCCTTCTAAGAAGCATAAAAGGGTAGGTGCCGACCATACATGACTTATATATAGGGGAGGGGGGAATAGCTTGTGCTATAACTATGCCTTTCAGGTGGAATATTCCCTTTAAACAATAATAATAATTTGGTTACTCAATCCACAATGTTTGTGGGACACTGCTCTGGGCAATTGGCTGCTGCATTTCGCTCACAAAATATATGGTATATTCTGTGAAGCGCTTTGAGACATCTCAATGCACATGACAAGACGCTATACCAAATGCAAAGATTAGCAGTAGTGGTATTTTTATTATTATGCTTTGGTGTCTTTTTATAGACCAAGACAAGCCAGAAAAGTTAGCCTTAGGTCCACACATCCTGTGCAACACTATACAATGTATTTTCCATTTACAACTTTTGCAAAGACTGCTTCAATTATGATTAAGAAGGGTTAATGATAAGATCATTAGTAAAAGATTATTTCACCCTGGTTTGCGGATCATTAACTAGAGGGCACAAAGTTAAGATAATCCCAAACTAATTAAACAGGTTGTTGGCAATTAAGAATCTTCACACAGAGGTGGTTGGCGTTTTTGTCACAAATCATTGGGGAGGCAAAGACCATAGATTATTTTTAGAAAAGGACATCAAGAGTCATAGAATCATGATTCTACAGGAGTCCTGTAGCTCAGTGGTTAGAGCACTCGCCTCTCAAGCGAGAGACCTGGGTTTGATTCCTGGCAGGGTGAAACCTTGGGCAAGTTTCCTTACTCTACACGCCTGATAAAAATCCCTCAAGGAAAAAAACAATAATAAATTGGTCATTTCAATCCACGACTGTTTGTGGGACACTGCTGTGTGCAATTGGCTGCCACATTTCGGCCACAAATATTCACTTTACAGTATCTTCTGTGAAGCGCTTTGAGACGTCTAAAAGACGTGAAAAGCGCTATATCAAATGCAAGGATTATTATTATTATTACCATTGTGTCTGTGCCGGTTCTTTGAAAGAGCTACCAACTAGTCACACTTCCCAGCTCATACCTCAGAGCCCATCAGAGCCCAACAAATTTAGATAGATATTTGGTAGTTTAAAATAACATTAAACAGGAGGGCAATAGGAGAGAGGATTAGATAAAATAATAATAATCCTTGCATTTGGCACAGCTCCTTCTGCCTATCAAAGCGCTTCACAGAATGTTATTGTAAAGTGTAGTGATTGTATATTTTGCAGATCTATGGGGCAGTGGAGGGCATGTGGAGGAAAATCACCAGCCAGATTTAAATGGGCCAAATGTTGTTGTACAGGCTATTCATAAAGTCCTGTTACCCCCACTTTTTTTTACACAGTGACCAGACCAACAACTGGAAGAATGGTGATAATTGTATTTAAAAGTACTTAATTGTATTCAGTACAAGTGTTTAACTGTATTTAGATGTCCAGAGATTTGGTGTGTGTGAGCTCCATCATTTTCATGGCAGATAATGATCCAACACCATGTTTGTTGTGACATCTTCCGTAACATGGATGGAGGGAGGAGGAAATTACTGGTGTCAGACATTGTTGAACTTGACTCATCTACAACAGAAAATAAAAATTCATTGTAAAAAAAACAGGAGGGTAACAGGACTTTGTGAACACCCTGTACAATTCTATGATTCCACTCTCAGAGTTGGTAAAGCCTGGAGAAGCTGTTGGCAGATGGTGGAGTGGGGTACGTGGGTGAACCTACCCCCAGGGCTGGATGCTCAGTGTGTGGAGCTGAGCGTTAGAAGCTCCTCCTGTTAGTTGGCTGAGTTAGTTAGCAGCAGCCAGAGCCTGTCACAGCCCCGTCTGACTGTCAGCCTCACCAGGACAACATGAAGCTGCTGAAATATCTCTTCATGTTGAGATGCTGTTTAAGTAAGTAGGCTCACAAATAAATCGCAATGTTGAAAATACTTGAAAAGGAAAAATTTGCTATGGGTTAAGAGTGGGGGAGTGGGATTAATTGGAAAGCACTTTCAAAGAACCGGCACAGGCACAATGGGCTGAATGACCTCCTTCTGTGCTGTAGGATTCTATGTGCCAGTACAGGCATTGGCTGTAGGAGAATTGCTGCTGAAATCCAGTCAGATATGGGGATATTTTTTACAGGAGTAAAATGCAAAGTTAGTGGATTTCGCTCCAACCTGTAGCACCAGGGAAATTGGTATAGAAATTAATATTTGTGCTTTTTGGTCATTTTCAATCTACGACTGTTTGTGGGACATTGCTGTGCGCAATTGGCTGCCGCGTTCATCCACAAATATACAGTCAATTCACTTTACAGTGTGTTCTGTGAAGCGCTTTGGGATGTCCTCCCGATGTGAAAAGCGCTATATCAAATGCAAGGATTATTATTATTATTATTACATATTTTGTATTTACATCCATTAATATTTACTTAGTAGTTACTTAGTATAACTTACAATATATATGAGTGTGTAAATCCTATAGCATCAGGGAAATTGGTTATAGAAAATGTTACATATAATTGGGGGTAATTAATATTTGTACACGTACATATATTTACACATTTTGCCCACAAAATATACAGTCAATTCACTTTACAGTATATTCTGTAAAGCTCTTTGAGGCATCTTAACGATGAGATAAGGAGCTATATCAAATGCAACGATTATTATGTTATATTATTATTTTACACATTTTGTATTTGCATTCATTAATGTTTACTTAGTATTAAAATGAACTGCAGGCATTATACTTTTCTTAGACGGGAAAGGCGCTATATCAAATGCAATAAAACTTTATTTTATCATTATTATTTAGGACTTCCAAGCGATGAGATATTAACTTTTTCTGGAAGAGAAAAGGACGGGTTTGCGTGTAGAGTATATAGTGAGTGTGTTAGTGTGTAGGAATACTTTAGGGAAATTTTATGAGGAGATTTTTTTAACAAACAAAAATATTTTCTCTCTTTCTCTCAACAGGTCTTTCCAGGACAATGTCATCGACCTTAGAACCGACTGACAAATTTAAAATCATGGTTAAAGGCGAGCGTGCTGAACTCTCCTGTAAACTAAAGGGAGAAGATTTACAACAACTGGAGGTGTTTTGGTTGAGAATGCGTGAAGACGGCAACCCGCAGTTTGTGATCTCCGGCACTGTCCTGGATAAGCTCACCCGAGCGGAGTTCATAGATGAACGCTTCACCATCAGCAGAAGCAACTTTCAAAGCTCCTTCAGTTTGACCATAAACAACTTGCACCTCAATGACAGCGGCACCTATCACTGCCTACTGCCTAAGAAATACCTCTGGGGAAGTGCAATCCAGCTCAAAGTGGGTTAGTGGCCTCTCTTGTCACATTGCAAAGCTTTCAAAGTTAGCAGAGCAAAAAGTGAAAATCCTTGCATAGGTTAAGACCAGGCACTAAGCTCCATTCCAGGGCGGGTGTGTGTGTGTTTGTTTTGGGTGGGGAGGTGGGCGGTTAGATTCAGATTCAAGGAACACGCATTAAATTCACAAAAAAACAGTCAAACCACTTTGCAGTGTATCCTGTGAAGTGCTTTGAGACATCTCAACAACATGAGAAGGCGCGATATCAAACACAAGGATTATTATTATTATTATTATTTTTATGCTGGTGCACCTAACTTTGCCCTTTTAGAAACATCGGCTTAGAAAAATGGTGTGAAATTCAGCAGTGTCTGTGGGTTCAATAACGTTTTGTACCATGTGTACATATGGCCTTCCCAATGCAGATAATCAGTGCACTTTGTCTTACATAACAATAAAATAATAATAATAATCCTTGCATTTGATATAGCGCCTTATCACATTGTTGAGAAGTGTCAAAGCACTTCATAGAATATACTGTAAAGTGAATCAACTGTATATATTTTATGGACAAAACACAGCAGCCATTTGCGTACTACAGTGCACCACAAACAGCCGTGGATTGAGTGACCAAATTATTATTATTTTATCAATTTTTTTTAAGGGATTATTACAACTAATTTCTATCAGTTCAATCACCCCCTATTTTCTTCAAGGTTCGATTGAATTCTTACAATAATTTACTCTCCTTTGCCAGGTGTGTATCAGTGTGAATCGTTACTGGTGGCGGGAGAGTGTTGATATCTCAGGGGCCCTTCATATTGATGGGTTTACTGTTAATTTTCTTTCTTGTTGTTGGGTGGGTAGTTTATTTTTGAAGGTGGGGAGGGGGATGCGAGAGGAAGAAAATATTTAAGTAAAAGCAAGCAACAGACCTCAAAGAAAACAATGTCCCATTTCATCTCAGTTACAGAGAAACAGAAAGTGACTTCACCGCCTTCTACAACTACTCGGCGTAAATCGATACCTCGTAAACCCAAGACTCGCAAGGAAAACAATGGTAAGATTGGCTCGGAAGCTGAGTTTTGTAAATGCCATCACCTTACTGTGCCTCATTCCCCAGCAAAGCAGGATTGTTCAGTGCTGGTGAGCCAACCAATCTATTCCTCTCCTTCACATGTACCTTTAACTCCAAGGCGGAGGCAGTACATTTTACCCAACCATTGATATAATAATAATAATAATGATAATGATGATGATGATGATGATGATAATAATAATAATGATGATAATAATAATAAGAGAGGCTTGGCTGGCTCACCAGTATTGAACAATCCTGACCTGGATACTTATTATTAATATTATTGTTACTATTATTATGTTATTACAGTTTAAATCACTCCATAGAGGTAATTTCTAAATGCTTTTCAGTGATGGGTCAACCAGACCAATAACACTGACACTTTATATACAAAGAGGTGTACAGTATATGAGTAATTTGAGACACAACATATACTAAGTATGGTGGTATGGCTTGGAAGAAACAGGGAACTTTGGATCTAAGATTGTGTTGTAGATTAATCCATATAGAATAATTGCTATCAGCATCTCCATTATTGTAGCATGCGACTACCAGGATGGTAGAAGGTGGATTAGATGGATATTTTCTGTCTAGCTGTTCCCATGTTACTTTTCTTAATATACAGGTGAATCAGAAGTCCTTACTCAGAGATATTCAAATTACATGCCATGTACGAGTTTACACATATCAACTCGATGACAAAAACTTTCACGAACGCAATGAAAGACATTTCCTGTAATAGCTGCTCACTCTAAGAAATTAAAAAAATAACATAATTAATAATTAAAAACTCTATGAGTAAGGACTTCTGATTTGAGCTTCTTAAAATAGCTACTTTTTGCAGGAAGTCAAGATTTTGCTATTCTTCTGGTGACTATTATTATTGTTGTTATTATAATAATAATAATAATTAGTATTATATTAATGGCTGCGTAAAATGTACTGCCTCCTCTTTGGAGTTAAATTTACATGCCAAGGATAGGAGTGGGAATATTTTGAATAAGTTTGTATCATCTCTTAAATCGGGTTCAGAGTGAGTAAGGCATCAGGGAGAAGATATTTTTAATAACTTTAATGTTTCTCCAACTTTTGCTCTTTATTAAAAAAACTGCGCATTTGTTTTGTCCAAATAATAATCGGCATTCGGAGAGACAACACTGAAGTTGGATAATGTTGTTCTCTTTTTAAGAGAAGGAAGTTGCAATTTGCGGTCACTGGTTTTAAATGCCCCATTTTATGATTTTTTCGCCCATAGTCAATCCACTTTACAGTATATTCTGTGACCAACTTTGAGACGTCTTAATGACATGATAAGGCGCTATATCAAATGCAAGGATTATTGTTATTGTATCTACATCTTATTGTCCCAGCCAAACTCTTCCAAATCAATTGATCATTCACTCCATGGCTCGATATGAGACATTGCTCCTGGGGCAAACAGGCTGCGCCTTTTCCTGCAAATCACAGTCACTTGGTAGCAATTTCCTCCACAAAATATACTGTAATGTGGATTGACTGTGTATTTTGTAGGCAAAACTTTGCTCCTATTGCACCAGCAACTCCACTAATCTTACTAACCAAGGATCTGTACCCAGTACCCACACACTGAGCGTCTCTCTGAAAATAAATATAACAACATTTTTGCGGACACCATTTGAGTAAAACAACCCACGGATAACGGATAATGAGGGGGAAACACACATACACGTTTCCCTTTTCAACAAATAAACCCATTGAAGAATAATTTCAACAGTTTGGCTGAAGCGATGCAGTTCTACACACGGTAACTGTTCCAATCCCTGACCTTTCCCCACAGCTCAGCAATGCACTGCAGTTACTTTTATTTAAAGGTGAAACTCATTGAAATGTTATTGTACCCCCCGATTCATTCCTTGCACAATGAAAGGGCATTTCTGTTGTTTTGTTTTGATGCAAACACTATTTCAGTAAGCGAGTATGGAACAGGGTCTGTCAGGAAACGGTGGAAGCAGAAAGTGTAGATTCTTTCAAAAACAAATTAGATAGATTTCTGTTAGGAAATAATATCTTGGGATACAGGATATAGTTTGGGACATGACATGTTCATGCGACTGCCAGGATGATGGAAGATGAACTGGATGGACCTTGATCTTCTTTTATCTAGCAATTCCTATGTTCTTATGTTTCTTTGAATTCCTAATGACTGACTGGCAGGCGTTCTTGCAAAGATGATTGATCAGTTTGGAAAGTCGGTCATGTGCATCTAATGTGTTTCAATACCTTGTGGATCAATCTGTGTAGTGTAGCGCAGTGTAGCCTTGCCTCGTCCATTGGGGACAGAGATCAAGATGTACTGCATTGCACATGCACATACACTAATAGTGTAAACTAAACCAGGAATATTATATATATAATGGTAATAATGATAATCCATGATATTCATATAGCGCCTTATCTCATCACCAGGACGTCTCAAAGTACTCCACAGGATTTCACTGTGAAGTGTAGTGACTGTATATTTGCCACATTGCATCACACAGGCAGGATTTTATCTGGAAAGGCAATGTGAGGAAAACTGTTTTTTATTAACAACAACAAATTGCATTTATATAGCGCCCTTCACAGCAGGAGACGTCTCAAGGTGCTGGACAATGAGGTGTTTGCACCCGAGCTACGGGTTGGGATTAAGCGCTTTTAATTGAAAAAGAATTGCTTTAAATGGGTTAAGACTAAACATTAGCCTTTTGCTGTAGAATTTTGCACAGTAACAGATCCTCAATAACATTTTGCACAGTAACAGCTGCAGGAAAATGCCAAGGTGTGGATTTTTAGCAGCGACGGGCAAATAATATATACATAATATAATCCTTACATTTGATATAGCGCTTTATCACGTCTTCGAAACGTCTCAAACCGCTTCACAGAGTATACTGCAAAGTGAATTGACAGAATATTTTGCGGGCGAAACACAACAGCCAAATGCGCACAGCAGTGTCCCACAAACAGTCAAGAAATGATTGAGAGCTATGATATAAACGGTTTCAGATTGTCTTGGTTGATCATGTAATAATAATAAATAGTAATCCTTGCATTTGATATAGTGCTTTTCGCATCTTCTGGACCTTCCAAAGCGCTTCACAGAATATACTGTAAAGTGAATTGACTGTATATTTGTGGACGTAACGCGGCAGCCAATTGCACACAGCAATGTCCCACAAACAGTCGTAGATTGAAAATGACCAATTTATTATTGTTTTTGGTTTTGGAGGGATTATTATTAGGCTCTGTGTGGAGTAAGGAAACTTGCCCAAGGTTTTGCCCTGCCTGGGATTGAACTCAGGTCTCTCACTTGCAAAGCGAGTGCTCTAACTGCTGAGCTACAGGACTGTTACAGTATTCCCCAATAGTAGTGCTAGTCCTATATTATAATACTAAATACCGCAGCTGTTTACAAAATGGACTCTTATCTATAAAGCTGAAGAGATCATTTCTGTCCCACAGCCGGTTTGATATAATGTGCAGGATTTGTTTATTGTATGTTAGCCTGGCTCAGTTGGTAGCACTCTCGTCTATGAGCCAGATGGCTGTGGGTTCAAACCACATGGCAGGACTTGGAATCACACAGTCTAAGCCGACACTCTAGTGCAGTGCTGGGGGAGTGCTGCATTATCGGAAGTGCCGTCTTTCGGATGAGACATTAAACCAAGGTCCCGTCTGCCCGATCAGATAGATGTTAAAGATGTCATTGAACAATTCGAAAAGAGAAAAGAGTTTCTCTTTCCTAGTGTCCTGTCTAACAGTACACAAAATAAAAGTGGTCACTCACTTCATGGCTGTTTGGCAAACATTTCTGCACAAACTGGCTATCTTGTTTGTCCACAAAAAACACAGTTACTACAATTTACAGTAAATCTTGTGAAGCACTTTGAGTTGTCCTTCCGACATGAAAGGAGCTGTATTATATGTAAGGATTATTATTATTATTTTTATTATTATTATGTTATTACAGTTTAAATCAATCTATAGAGGTCATTTTTAAATGTTTTTCAGTGATGGTCAGCCAGACCAATAACACTACCACTTAACCTATGAATGGATGTTACCTTTCTTGATATATTTGAGCTTCCTAAAAATTATTATAATTTATTTATTATTATTATTATTTCAGAGCTCAAATGTGGCTGGATAGTCTGGAGTCCATTCATCGCAGTCATTGCGTTGTTGCTCATTTCCATCGCTACTGTTGTCATCCATCATAGAAGTAAGTTAAAATACGCTCAGTACATAGAATTGATTAGAACTTGACAGCACAGAAACAGGTCATTCAGCCCCAACTAGTCCATGCCGGTGATTATACTCCATATAAGCTGCACCCTTCCTAATCCTTTCTCTCTTATTCCTCTATTCCTTTCTCCCTCATTTAGTATTAAGTACTATCGGATAAATTGCTTTGACCGTTCACCTCATGTTAATTTGCTGATATAGCAATGTGAATTTATAACCCAATGCATTTATTTATCCTGTTCATTCACTCTAAATAGCTTTAGAGTTAGGATTGCCTTTTGAAAGTTATTATTGAATTTGCTTCCACCACCCTTTCAAGCAGCGTATTCCAGATCGTAACAACTTGCTGCGTAAAAAGGATCCTCCTTGTGTCCGCTCTGGTTCTTTTGCCAATTATCTCAAATCTGTGCCCTCTGGTTAACAACCCACCCACCAGTGGAAATTGTTTCTCTATTGTTACTCTCTTTCAAAACCTCTCCTAATTGTATTGTATAGTAAATAGCTGAGGTGGGGGCAGTAGCCCCTGCAGTGCTGAGATTGCTAATGTTTCTAACAAGAGCAATGTTTGACTTTCCTTTCTAGATCGTCGAAGGCGATGCCGTCACCATTTTCGGAAGAGGTCAGTGATGTGAAATCTCTAACTCGTTACTGTCATACTATGGAAAAGAATGGGGGAGTGGGAGAGCCGGCACAGGCACGATGGGCCGAATGGCCTCCTTTTGTGCCGTAGGATTCTATTATTCTATAAATATTTATATGTAATAGAGCCTGGAACCTATTGTAGTAAGTGCTCCGAGATGCTATCCCACTTGAGGGACGCTATATAAATGCAAGTTGTTGTTGTTCGAGATCGGCTGTACATTCGTTTGGGAATACATTTGCTTTGAATTGATGTTTTGATATAACCAGATTGAAGATACATTTTAGAAGCAGGGGGAATTGACGAGGTAGGGGTCGGGGTCCGTGCGGAGAAGATCCTCATTCCTCAGGGTCTTTATGCATCTCCTAAAATGTAAGATTTTGCTGAATTTTGCCACGTTCTTGAATTTAATCTGAATTTGAAAGGTTTTTTTCAAGAACTGCGGAAACCCAACCTCCTTATAAAGACTTTTATAAGAACTGGCTCCAAAATTAAGACTGAATTGAAGAATTCCCCTCTGCTCCCACCCCCAAATACTGTATTAATTAATTATTCATTCATTAATTGATTCATGAATTAGCTGCCACATTTTGCCCACAAAGTATACAGTCAATTCGCTTTACAGTATATTCTGTGAAGCGCTTTGAGACGTCTTCACAACGTGATAAGGCACTATATCAAATGCAAGTATTATTATTATTATTACAATGTTAAATTTTAAGGCAATTTTCGTAAGACTAAAGCTGTACCTGTTTGAAGAATGACCACGTTGTGTCACTGTCAATAATTGTCCGCGTTATAAAAGAAGGTTAAAACCATGACAAATGTAACAGACAGCCTCGCTCTTTGTCCTTTCTGCCCCACTCCCACCGATAATTCATTTATTATTATCTATTTATACTGCAGTCGTCCTACATAGTACGTGCCTCTTTGATGCAGTTTCCGAGTTGAATTGACACTAAAAGTGTAGAGCAGCTTGTGAGAGAGACAGAAAATGACAATAATTCTGTTTGGAACTAGTCATGAAACCACCTCCAGGAGAGAGTTTCAGGTTAAGAATCAATGTCACTGCTGTTGAACACCTTCAGTCACTCCACAATCCAGTAATGTTGACGTGCATTGATATACTGTAGTACGTTTCATGAAATCGTAGCGTTTAATTGAAGAGAGTGGGGTAGGGGGGAAGCAATAAGTCAGACCCAATCAAAACCCAACATTTAAGCACTTTGAAACATCCCCCCGACATGAAAGGTGCTGCATAAATGTAAATTGTATTTTAAATTCTACTGTATGCATTTGATAAACATTTGATATCTTAAAAACAAAGTTAGTTTTAATATTCCTGCAATGGGTAGCAATGCTGGCACCAAGTGATACCACTCCCAGCAGACTAGTAATTGAAATCCGGGGATCCTGATAAACTGTGCAGTTTCCCTGTGATTCGTTAGTACTTTGTGTATTTTTCTGAAGTTTTCATAGTATCCCTGTGTATTTTCTTTATATTGTTTTTTAATTGGATGGTTCTCTATGTCAGATTTCAACCAAACTTAATTGGTAGTATTTGCTTTTCTTGCAAGCCCTGTGGATTGTATCTGTGTGTAAATCAGCAATCACTTTTATCAAAAAAACAGTCACTGCACTTGCCAATAATTACCAGGAAGCACTTTGGAGTATTTTGACAGGATCAGGCACTGTAAAAATGAACTTTATGTGTATTTGATAACACATCAAATAATAATAATAATACAATTAGAATTTTGTCATTTGATATAGCATCTATACACTGGAGCAATGCAATTTAATGTAGTTTATAAAGAGCATTTCACATCAGGAGAATGTCTAAAAGTGCTTAACATTGCTGGATGGGCACCCGAGATGAGGGTGATATGTGTTTGTGGGGACAATACTTATACTTAAAGTCAAACCACTGTCTTCATACAGTTAGTGTTTACTTCAAATAATAGTTCTTACCTTTGTGAAGGAAAATTAGTGTTAGAATGGGAAGTGAAGACAACAACAACTGACATTTATTTAAAGCGCCTTTCACATATAGAACTTGTCTCAAAGCACTGAATGGAAACAGTTAGAAATGATCTGAATATTTTTGTGGAGACTAATTTGCATCAGCTTGTGGGACACAGCCAGAAATGAGATGAGCAGTCAACTAATGAGTATTTTGGGGGTGAATGTTGATGAGGAGGGAATAAGGAATTTCATCAAGAAATTCCACAAATTAGACCCCAATTTCCAACATTTTGTGTGATAGCAATGAGCATTGCTTTATACTTCGTGAAGCTACAATGCACGTTGCTGTGGCTCAACAATGAGATAGATGACAGAGAGACAACTAGTGCATTTAAGAAACTCAATTAGTAAAGCAAAAGATTTCAAGGTGAATATTCACTACTTACTGAAGGTATTGAGCTAATATGAAGCAAAGTTTGTTGCACAATGGGATACTTCTCAAAGGTTTTTGGCAACATGTCAAAAACAGCTACTTTACATTTGCATAGTTCAACATTTTGGAATATGTGTAGATTTGGCCGCTCTACCTTCAAAAAGACATGTACGACGCGTTAACTGGCACATCAAATCTGTCATCGCCATTGTAAGTCAATAACTAAATCCTGCTGTCCCCAGTCTGACACAGTTGGTAGTGCTTGTCTTTGAGTCAGTAGTTTGTGGGTTCAAGCCCCATGTCAGGACTTGGTACTTGCACAGTCTAAATCACACTCCAATGCAGTGCTAGGCGTGAGCTGCATTGTCAGAGGTGCAGTCCGTTGGATGCGTTGTTAAACCAAGTTCCCATCTGCCCATCCAGTTGGACGTTAAAGATCCCATGGCACTATTCAAAAATATAACAGAGTTTCTCTCTCTCAGTGCCCTGGCCAACAATCCCTGAAATAAAACTGGTCTATGGTTGTTTGTGGGACAATTCTGCAAATTGGCTGCTGCATTTTGCCACAAAATGCACTCAGTCGCCCCATTTCATGGATAGCAGTTTTAATCTGAATATTTTTGTCTCTAAATTATAAAGTATATTTTAATGTATATTTTAAAGTTATAAAGTTTGCTTCATTTGTAGGACTTTGCTCAATGTAAATTGGCCGCTGGGTTCACCTAGTAATACAGTCACTACACTTTACAGTAAAATTCTGTGAAGCACTTTGAGACGTCTCAACAATGTGATAAGGTGATATATCAAATGCGAGGATCATTATCATAAAGAGAGCCAGATGAAGGGCGTAAGATAAATGTAATTTGTTGTTGTTCATATCTGAAATAGATTGGCAAATAATGCTCTGTCAAGTTTTCTGCCTTTATAAATTCTCGAGAATTATTTGCTTTAAAGGTGGTTCAGTTTTGCTGGTCGTGTGTCAAATATATATTAAATGCAAGAATTATTTTGTATAATGCTCCAATCTGTTCGTGTTTGTAAGATGTAACATTATACAGATAGACAAGGGCGCTATTCAAATGTAAATTGTTGTTGCTATTGTAGATGGGAATAACTGGAGGATCTTTGAGATGTTTTGACATAATACAACAACAACAAAATTACATTTATAGATGCCTTTCACGTCAGGAGGATAGACGTTATATCAAAAACAAGGATTATTATTACTACGATCAATTTTCCAGCTCAACCGCCCAATTGTAGCAGTTCATTCAACCTGTTCCCTTAGTTTATTAGATCACAGCATCTCATTTTTCTGCCTTTTCTCCTTACCCCTTAATACTTCTCAAGTATCTATCTCATTTTTGAACATCCACATTAATTTTGCTTCTACCGTTTTCTGGAGGCAATCCAGCCCACATTTTTACAACCCTCTAATAATAATAATATTCCTTGAATTTGATATAATGCCTTATCATGTCGTTGAGACATCTCAAAGCGCTTCACAGAATATACTGTAAAGTGTGTATTTTATGGGTGAAACGCAGCAGCCATTACATACAGCAGTGTCCCACAAAAAGTCATGGATTGAGTGATCAAATTTGTTTGAGGGATTATTATCCCTCGAAAAGCGATCTGCCAATCAACTAACAGCTGGGTTCCTACTTACTGCTGGGTAAACAGAGGCGTGTGGAGTAAGGAAACTTGCCTAGGGGTTTTCTCAGTTGGGGAATCAAACCTGGGTTTAAGTGTGAAGAAATGTTTTTCGGATGTCACCTCTAACTGTCCTAGGTAGAAATGTTTCAGAATGCGTCCTCTTGTTTTGAAGCAAATGAAGTGCTATCTGGAAAGGTTTGATAGAGCAAAGTGGAAGCCTCGGTTTCACAAGTATTGTATTTTAGGACTTGGTTCTCTACTTGGATATCCAGTAAACCAAGGCTCATTTTCCGACAAACACTGAAACCATTTGAGTGGGAGAGACATTAGAGTGTAAAAGTTTCTTGAAATTACTCACATTGATTCCTCCTTGTGTACTGTGTTTCCCTTATCATTTGACGACATGCCCCCCTACCTCCACACTCACCGTTCCCCTCCCCTTTACTCACTGTGGCAGCAGAGCTGCTACAATTGGGCGGTTGAGCAGGAAAATTGACCAGTGTTTCCCCCCTTCTTCCTGATCATTGATTTATTGAGCTTTATTGGGTGCTGCAGGCATTTGTTGGGTGACAAGAAGATCTGACTTGGTTATGATGCCCTTAGTGATCAAAAAGTCTGCTGTTACACTGTCTTGACTTAGAATGAGATATCAAATGATTATCCATTGAACTAGACATCAGAGCAAGGTGGGACCTGCAGGAAAATGGAAGGGATTCATTAGGTTAATAATAATAAAAGTAATAATAATAATATCCTTACATTTGATACAGCGCCTTTCATGTCAGGAGGATGTCTCAGAGTGTGTCACAGAATATACTGTAAAGTGTAATGATTGTGTGTTTTGTAGACAAATGTGGCATCCAGTTTTGAACGCAATAATTTTCCACAAATATCAATGAAGTATGAAACAACAACAACCTAGATTTATATTGTGGCTTTCCCAAAGGGTAGCATCTCAACAACAACTTGCATTTATATATCGCTCCTCACGCGTCCCAGAGCGCTTACAAGGTAAAAGGCAGCTAGACGTAAATGAAAGGGTTCCTTGTTCAAAGAGCCTGCACAGATATAATGGGCCCAACAGCTTTCTTCGGTGTTGTAAATGTCTATAGTTCTTAAGCAGAGCAAAATGAGTTGATTTCTTTTCTGGTTTGTAATGCACAAGCATTTGACCGCACACAGTTTATTAGGTGGCAAAGGAGTGTATAAGTAAAGTGTTAACTTGTGGATCTAGCCAGTGACAGAGTAGCACCCAGCAGCCTTGAAATGTATGTATGGCACCTTTTTAAATATATTATGAGAGGAGAGGCATCGGGGAGGGTGACAGGAAGAGAGGTGGAGCAGGAGGTACAAGGCAGCCTGGAGAGGACATATATGAAGAAAAATTCAATAAAGAAAATTTTATTTGGCTGGTCGACTAAAAACATTGGCCACCACTGCACTAAGCAATCCTGTTTCCCAAAGAAAACCCAAAGATAATTTTAGAGACATTAAAATGATAGATTGTTACATTACCAACCCATGTTATTGGTGGATTATGGTCCGGTACTGTTTATCATGTCTTTTTCTATCTATTGCAGGTATGCTTAACACATCCACGGGCTTTGAAGAAATGCAAAGAGAGAGAGACAGAGAGAGGAATGTTATTTGGAAACTTTTATTCTTTAACAAAGTTGCATCAGAACATTATACCACCTTCATGAACAAACCAGCAACTTGTTAATCAGCCCTTACAAGTTTATTTCTGTCAATGCTAAAATCTTGCAGTGTAATTCCAAGTGATCATCTTCGAACATTTTGAGCCGTGGCTTAGAGAGGAATTTCAGCGTTTGTAGATAATCTTCAGGTAAATGCACCATTGGTGGCAGTCAAAACACATGTCCTCCGTAAAAGCTTTTTCATTTAGTCAATAACAATGATGTGGCTTATTCCACTTGCTGCTTGCACCATACTGTTTATGTGTACAGAGTGTTTACAAAGTCCTGTTATCCCCATATTTTTCTCTACAGTCCACTGACCAACAACTGAAACATGTGGAAGAATGGTGATAATTGTATTTAGAAGCACTTGATTGTATTCAGTACAAGTGTTTAGCTGTATTTAGATGGCCAGAGGATTGGTCTGAGTGAGCGCAATCATTTTCATGGCAGATAATGTTCATTGCAACATCTTCCATAACAAAACTAAAGGGATTAAGGGATATGGGGATAGGGTGGCTAAATGGAATTAGGTTAGTAGATCACCCATGATCCTATTAAATGGCAGTGCAGGCTTGAGGGCCGAATGGCCTACTCCTGCTCCTATTTCTTATGTTCTTATGTAATATGGAGTGAATGAGGAGGAAGTTACTGGTAGCAAACATTGTTACATTCGACTCATCTGCAACAGAAAATAAAAATTTATTGTGAGAAAAAACAGAGGGGGTAATAGGAACTTTGTGGACACCCTGTAAATTGTGACTTCAATCCTCACAAAAGCAGAAATTCTGTGATTAGCGCCATTGCACGTTCAAAATAAAATGAAAATAAAATGGTGATAATTTCTTTTTTTTTTAATTGCGTTAATTTTTATGTGCATTATTTTCCAAGAAATTTCTATTCTTCTTTGTGACATTTCAGGCTTGCTCAAACCGCTTGCAAATGCCTAGCAGGATCAAGACCAATTTTTGGTCTGTACAAAAGACAGTGACATCATCCATATACAGGGAGGCCTTGGCTTGTGAGCCGTGGCTGCCTGGGATGGTGACACCTCTGATGCTCTCGTCCCTCCTGATGGCCCGTGCAAAGGCTTCAATGCAGCAGACAAATAGGGTGGGGGATAGTGGACAGCCCTAACTCCAGACCTGATGGGGAACAGCTCAGTCTCGTACCCATTAACTGTGACTGCGCTACAGATGTCTGTGTAGAGCAGTCGGATGCGCTTGCGTATTCCCTCCCAGAAGCCCATTTTGGAGAGTGGCTCATCCACGTAGCTGTGATATACCCTGACAACGGCTTTTTCTTGATCACCCCCCTGTCCTGCAAGTAGGCGATGGTATCCCTGAGCAGCGTGAGACTGTCTGAGATCCTTTGGCCCGGAACCGAGCAGGTCTCGTCTGGGTGTACTACCCGCCCGAGGACAGTCTTTATCCGCTTGGAGATCATCTTTGCCAGGATCGTACAGTCTACATTCAGTAGCGAGATTGGTCACCGATTCTTTATCTCCTCCCTCTCACCCTTCTGTTTCATGGTCCCTGATAGCAGCAGGTTGTTGTCGGCCTCCAGCAGGTCCGAGCCCAGCAGGTCCCACAGAGCTGAGTAGAGCTCCACTGGGAGGCCATCGCCTCTGGTGTCTTACCAGTCTGGAGGGATTTGACGGCCCTGGTTAGTTCGTGCAGGGAGAGAGGCCTGTTTAAGTGCTCCCGGCTCTCCTCATCCAGCAGCTCGGTGAGGGCAGATGGGATATCCCTGGAGGCCGTGGTCTCTGTGGGTTTTTGACAGTACAGGTCAGCATAAAAGGATCTGCTGATCCTCTGCATACCAGCCTGCTCCGCATGCACTCAGCCTGTTTTGACCCTCAGCCCAGTGATAACAGAACTTCCTCTGCTCACTTTTTAAAAGAAGAAACGTGAGCCCATCTCGTCCTGTTCTATCCTGAGCACCCTGGATTGGAAGATGACCCTGGAGGCCTGGGCAGCAAAGTGCACAGTTTGCTGACCCTTCACCTCCTGGAATTCTTTTCTGACATCAGTTCCCTCAGCCTGTTGTTGCAGGAGGTTCTGCAATTGGGTCTGTAGCCGGGACATGACCTTCAGCATCACCATCCAAGAATACACACTCCACCTCACAGAGCCAGTCCAGAACCTTGGCATCTTGCTTGACCCTCAACTGTCCTTTCTACCCCACATGTGTGCAATGACCCGCTCTGCCTTCCCCCACCTCCCCAACATTGCCCGGCTCCACCACTACCTCAACTCTGAGGCTGCCAAAACCCTCATTCGGCAACCTGTCCATTCTCCCTGCTCAGCAGGCTGTGGCTTGCTCCACAACTCCCACCCAGCCCGCTCCACCATCGACAATTGGGCCTTCACCAATCTGCCCCCACCCTTTGAATCTCCATCCCACAGTTCCTTTACCATGCTCCCTCCCTTGCCTGCTCCAAGGCATGTCTCAAGAACCTCCTCTTTGACTGAGCCTTCGGCCACCTTCCTACTCTCCCTGCCCCCCACTCTTCCTGATCCCAACCCCCCAGCTTGGGGCCAAATTCCTGACTGTCCAGTGGGTTGGGATGTCCTCCGACCATGCTAGGCGCTATACAAATGGAATTTTGTATTGTATTTTGTAAGAAGTTGACACTCAGTTGACTCTCTGAAATCTCTTCTGGTTTGAACCTAAACACTCCATCATTTTAAAATTTGAGGCTACACAGAATTTTGGACATTTCTTAAATTCATTCTTAATTTGTTTCTTCTCACTTTTTTTCCCAAATTCAGACTAAATTTTCAAAATAATCCAAAATTCTGAGTAGTCTTGAATTTGTATTCTACTACAAGAACTCTACCACAAAACACAACAACAACAACTTGCATTTATATAATGCCTCAGACACAGGGCAGTGTCCCAGAACGCTTGACAATGGAGGAGCATGATGCCGAGCCAGGGGAAGCGGGAGGTGACCGTAGGCACAGCCATAGATGAAGGTTTTCAGGTGCGATCTGAAGATGGGGAAGGAAAGGACAAGGCGGAGGGATAGAGGAAGAGTGTTCCAGAGTTTTCGGGCATAGTGACTGAAAGCGTGGTCACCAATGGTGGAACAGAGGGCACAAGGAACATGGATGGAGACCGGAGCCGGTCGAGTGGAGGTAGGGGATGGTGGGTTGGGGAGTAAGCAGGTCGGAGAGGCAGGGCTTACGCAACAGATGCTTCAGAGAAGATTCATGTGGATTGATTAAACTCGCAGATCACACAAAGATCACAGGATAGGTCTGGGTGAAGAAGACCCTTCGGCCAATCTGATCTCATCCCTTCAGAACACATCCCTGCCATCATTACATTAAGCTGCTTTTTAAATGAGTCCCAATGTCCAGGCTTCAGCAACCCTTCCTGGTAACCTGTTCCAGTCATTAATTACACTCTGGGCAAAAACATCCTGGTGTCTGTCCTGAAGTTGCCCTTTACAACAAAACCTATATCCTCTTGTTCTACTATCTTCCTGTGTCCTAAAGTATTGATCTGGGTTTACTTTTAAATTCATCCCGGGATGAAGGGTATTGAAAAAGGAAACCTAGAACAGTACTTTAGGATAAAGCTGTACATGGAAGAAAAAAAAATTGGGGTAAGAGTGGAGAAGTGGGACTAATTCAATAGCTGTTTCAAAGAGCCAGCACAGGCCCGATGGGCTGAATAATCTCCTTCTGTGCTATAGGATTCTATGATTCTATGTGAAAAACACTGATCAAGAAAGTGACAAAGCACTCTGTACCTCCGTGTGCTCCGAGATGCTATCCTGAGTGAAGTGCGCTAGATAAATGCAAGTTGTTGTTGTTGTCGATGACCTATTTGTAGTCACAGCTGGCCTGAGTAAGCCAAATGCAGGGGGTGAGCAGAAGTGAGGCTAAAGAAGGTCACAGAGGGAAGAGCGAGGGTTACATAGGGATTTGTAGGTGAGAGAGAGGATCTTCAAGTCTGAGAAACAGAAAGACAGTAATATAATAATAAGAATCCTTGCATTTGATATAGAGCCTTATCACGCCATGTTTCAAAGCGCTTCACAGAATATACTATAAAGTGAATTGACTGTATATTGTGAGGGCGAAACCCGGCAGTCAATTGCGCACAGCAGTGTCCCACAAACAATCATGAACTGAGTGACCAAATTTATTTGCTTTTGGAGGGATTAATACCTCCCGGAAAGCGATCCACCAATCGACTAATCAGTGAACAGAGAGAGACGTGTGGAGTAAGGAAACTTGTCGAAGGTCATTAACGCCCTGCCCGGGAATCGAACCCAGGTCCTCTCGTTTGCAAAGCGACCGCACTAACCAACGGGAATCCACGAGTGGAGCCTGGTGAGGATAGAGTGATGGGCTTGCGAAGGTAGTGAGGGTGAGGATCCGAGCGACCAAATATTGGATGAACCCCAGCGAAAACCTTAATAGTTAAAATCTCCAATGTTCCATGACACAAAATAGAAGTGGGGGAATAACTTTATTGTTCAAGCCACATATTAATAATTTCTGAACAAGTGACTCAAATAGGTGGAATGTTTACCACCTTTTCTCAACACTTCTACCCTATAATACTTTACACGTGTCCTGCCTTTCACAAAGGGACCACAAAGGCTAGCCACATGCACCTGAGTTTAAGCTGACAGTTAGATGCAATTGTCTGCAAGATGCAATAAGAAATATTTTATATTCCACCAACTCCTCCTCCCCACCTCCACCCACTCTACACCCACCCAACACCCCAATTGCCCTTGAATGGATATTGAAACCTATTTAGTTTGCAGAGTGTGCTGAAGTTATCTTGACCCTATCATCCAACCCTCGTCCAACTCCACTGGCTCCCCATCCCTCAGAGGACAGAGTTCAAAATCCTCATCCTTGCCTTCAAAGCTGTCCACTATCTTGCTCCTCCCTACCTCTGTGACCTGCTAACTCCATACAGACCTGTCCGCTCCCTCCAGCAGGCTCCAGCCTGCTCCATGTCCCCTGCCCACCATCGGCGGTCAGGCCTTTAGCCTCTCTGCCTCCACCCTTTGGAACTCCATCCCACAGTCGCTTCACCTTGCCCCCTACATGGCCTGCTTCAAAGCATGTCTCAAGACCCTCCTCTTCGACCGAGCCTTCAGTCACCCATTCAGCCGTAAGCTCCCTGCCCTCCACCCCTCCTGATCCCAACCTCTTGCTCGGGGCTAAATTGTTGACTCTACAATGCCTTGAGATGTCCTCCCCACATGAAAGGTGCTATACACATGTAATCTGTTGTTGTTGAATTACTGAATTATCATTTAAAAGAGGCATGATTGTTTGCCATTCTCCTGGTGGCACAGAATAACAGGTGCTGCAAAAACACATCTGTCTGCTAGGCGCTGCACCTGGGATTTTCTGTGGCTCCTGAGGGTTTATTGTGGTTAATGCTATGTAGTGCACAATGTTGAAGATTGCAAGCACCGATTAGAGTTACATGTTCTTAGAAATTCAGAATGTCAAAGCGATTTAATGCAGTTTAAGAACATAAGAACATAAGGATTTGCTAGGTGGAAGAAGACCAAGGTCCATTCAGTTTGCGTTCCACCATCCTAGTAGTAGCATGTTCATGTCATGCCCCAAACTATATACTGTAT